GTGACAAGATTCCGCTGTTTGTCTCGATCGCGCTATATACATATATGTGTCACGGTCGAAGGCCCCATTGGCTCTAAAAATCTGGCACATGCGGCGTTTCACGCTCTATAAACAATGCCGTTGATTTAAGCGCTTGGCTAACCACGATGAATTCGTGTAAATATTATATTTATTCACTATGCAAACAATAGCCAACCCCCGCGATTTCTCAAATGTTAATTGAATGTTAATTAAACATTCAACTGAGTTATCTTTGTCCGAATAAAATTTAATATCTCTTTGAACATTTTTTTAATTTTTTTCCGGAAAGGGTCGGGAAAAGTGTTTTCACGTGCCTTCCATTCGATAAAGTATGTATAAAAACATGCTCACGTTCGTTGTTTAATTCTGGTATAAAAATTCTCAGGCAACTTCGACGAGAAAAAATATTCGACGGGGTCGATTCCGTATTCCCTCCGTTGCACCTCGCATGCCGCGGCAGCCGCTGGGGTGACGTCGGATTCGCGTCGGTTTTCATGCACCGTGTGCTCCAGTTTTTTTTTTCACGCTCGCGCGGCCGTGACGCGCGGGGCTTTCGCCGTTAACCGAAATTCCTCAAACGTAACGCCACGTAACGGAAACGTTGCCAAGAGCGTGCAGGCGGCGGCATCGTTCTATTCATAGAATGCCGGCGATATGCCTTCGGTATTGCTGTCGAACCTCCCGATGCATCAGGGAGGGGGGGAAGCGGCCGAAGTTCTCCCGCAAGTGATAGCGATAGTGCGTGCGCTTGGCAGAGGACCATCGGGACACGCGGTCGATAGGTGTACGCGCGTAATATCGGTACACGGTATACAACTACAGTTGAACTTCGATGCACGTTCGTGTGCGTGCACTTGGCAGAGAAGTTCTCCCGCGCGGAAGTTCGCCCGTGGTTCCGCATTGGCTACCACGAGGCTATTAAGGCCAACCGCGATCGGGGATTGCGTGAATCATCGTGGAGTCGCCTCTCGATGAATCGCGACGATCCCTGTACTTTCTCTCCGCGTATTGTTTACTCGACGCTCGCCAGGGAATTTTCTCGCGACTGCGGCGGCGGCCACGAATGGAAAATACGCGGAATCTCGATCGCGGGAATTTCAATTGGCAGAGACGATAGTAACGCGCGGAATGTCGATCGTACGAAAAATACGCGGCTATATACATCAAGCGCCTGCGGTGACAGTGGATGGAAGGTCGTCGCATTGTGCGTGCCGCCTCGCGGGCAAAGTCATTCATCTATTTTTGTGCGCGGGCCCAGCGGCGAGCTTCTATATAGCCCCGCGATCAGTCTCGCGTGAGCCTCGCGAACGCGTCGGCGGGAGGAAGACACTCGCGCTCGAACTTGAGCTTGACTGCGCGCCGAGTGGAGAACATTAGTCACACACGATGGCTCGAGTTATTCGTCTCGAGTAACGCGACGAGTCAGCGACGACGACGTGACACTTGGCGACGGACTAATTGCGAAATTCGTCACGGCGATTAGTCGCGGCGGCGTCCCTGCGAAATTCGCGCGAACCTTGAAGCCCCGCGAATCGCGCGGCCACGTTAATCACTCATGGGCCGTATCGTCCATCTCAACTGGCGAAGTAAGTAGGCACGCGCGGATTAATTACGTGGAATTCGTTGCGCCGCTTAATCGGCCCCCGCGATCTAAATTGCGCGAGCCGCGATGTTAGCGCGTTCGCTGTTAAATGACAGAATCTGATATCTCTGTCGCGCTATTTCAGTAAGTCTATGGAACTAAGAGCGTGATTCATCAAAGTTAATGATTTCTTGACCCTGAAAGTAGCTGTTAAAAATAAAAGAAAACAGATAATTTTAAAGATGCTAAAAGAAAATGTTTAAGGTAACTAATGATCAAAGAATCAAATTCTTGATTATGAAATCATGTACTTTATCAATAGAACAAATGTATTTACTTCAACTTACATGGCAGGAAAGGACTTAATTGGTCTACGATATGTGCTTAATCCACATTCATTCATCCCTTATAAATTAACTAATCCGACTAAAACCTAATGATCATAATAACGATACTACGATACTATGTTACGATCTTTACCTTATATTGCGCAAAATTCAACGGAAATACATAATTAGATCTGGAACATCGAATTTCTTTTGACAATTAAGAGTTTTGCGGCGACTGTAATCTCGTTTCCGGAATTAATGAAAATAGGGATCAAATGTTCATAACTTTAACAAGCGAACTGCAGAGCTGCTCGCTTCTGTGGTGTACTATACATTGTTGACGTTATTAGTATAGCGTGTCGAAAGAGCTGACGCCTGCTCGTCGTACCTTCGAGATTCCTTTGGCGATCTCCCAAAAACGCGACGTCGGCGGAGCTGAGCTTCCGGGACGTGTAAAACCCGGTAAAATCGAATTGATCTTTATCGCGAGCGAAAGACGAGCGCAGGGTGTACATTCTTTCGAGGTAACTGAGACCGACAATCTCTATTCCCCCTCCTCCTACCGCTCCTATTGTCCTCTTTCTCCTTTTATGCAGCATTCACGACACCCGCGACTTAATATTTATCGACGACCCATAGTAACTCATCTTCGCTCTCACTGACATCCAGTTATTTAGCCTTTGTGGTGTAAAAGAGCCGCTAAACACGAAGAGGAGCTGCAGTATATTTCTGCTGGAATATCGATCGTGCCGCTTTAATTTTGTTTGAAGCGAGAGAGAGCGAACGAGAGACGCGTATATAGTCGGTTACAATTGTGGACATTAATACGTTTGATCTTAAACTCGGCATTAGCGTACACACATTCGTAACTCATGCAAATCGATCATTATCTTTGTGCCCGTCTCTCTCTCTCTCTCTCTCTCTCTCTCTCTCTCTCTCTCTCTCTCTCTCTCTCTCTTTCTCTCTCGGTCTCATCTCGTTCCGCGCCGTTATATTCGGCGGTATATATTTGGAATTGCATTTCATTTTCGTCATCAAGCAATATTGTCCCCCGTCCTCGTCCTTTGAGCACGCTCCCATTCTACGGGTTTATTATCCCTTTGATATCACCACTCAATGACGCACATATTGTCGCAATTCTGCACTTCATCAATCTCGATGATGTTTGTTTGCCGTTAAATTTTATGTGACTGCGCTTTAAGCATTCTTGCGAAAACGCAAACGTGTAGATCAAGCTGAGTCTACACATAAAGTAAAGATACATTTTATAAAAGAAGATTGCGAAAGGATTTTATAGTGGCAGTTTATTAAATTATACATTATAAATTTTCGATAATGAGTTTCGCCTAATAGAAAATTCAACAAGGAAACAAGCCGCAGCTACTTTATCTTCCCGTTGACATTTTCACTCGCGATTTTTCGTAATTGCTGAAATTAATTGGCATACTAATTAAACGAGATCATACGTACGTCCCTTCGGAAATGAGTCTTTCCGAGTTTTCCAATAATTAATTAAAATTTACGCAAAAAGACTAATCGGGCGACACCATCGTATCGTGTTTCAACCGACATTCCTGTAAATTATTTCACGATGCAAACGAGAGGTACAATGGATCTAGTCACGGGGAAAAATGCACGTGGTATACCGTTAATGCCAGAAAATACTTTGACTGCAGCAGCTCTCTAAAATCGCCGGATTGATTTATTGATACGTATATATGTAACGCCGCGTCGATTACAAAGGGAATTTTTAAAGACCTCGCGCTGCGTTTAATCGTCGCCGAATCGGGAATGTGTCAACTTCTCGAAATCCACAACGGATTTTTCGGAAATCGACAGTCAGCAGTCAATAGACGTGCGCGCGCGCGCGAGAAGCTTTTTGTTCCGTAGCTTCGTACGAATGTGTGCCCGTCCTCTGGAAAATCGACGTATCCTTTTTTTGTGGCGAACGTCACGATGCCATCAACGACGCGTATGTCGGGCTCTCGCAACGCGACGGACAGATTTTCGTCGTCAACCAGTCAGCGGAGTGTCCGTTGTCGCGAACGAAGACAAACGTAATTTGAGGACCGCTGGCAAACGGCATCGGGCAGATTTCGCCGTGACCCGGTTTTCCTTTTTCCCGTGGACCACGTCATATGTACAAATGCTAGTTAATGAACGAGTAATGCTGATTATTAACAAGAGATCCATAAAAGTCATTGCTGAAGGCTTGTAATCGAAAATGTATTTAGTGTATAATACGCGTAATAAATGACTTGATTTGATTTAACGACTGGCTTTTGCCACCGTTAAAGTCTTTAATAAATTTTTATCGTAAAAAGAAGACACGATTATATTACTTGAGTATATTACTTGATGTTACATAAACGAGCGTACTCGCTTTTGCAAGCGAGTTGTAATTGAAAAATGTCTTTTGCGTGGGACGTGAGTAATGAGCTTGATTTAATTTAACGATTGGCTTTTGCCACCGTTAAATTCCTAATGAATGTTTGTAATTGCAAGAAGAAGACACAATAATATTACTTGAGCGTTATTTAACGTTACGTAAAGTAAGCGAGCGTACTCGCTTTTGCAAGCGGTATAAATATACCCGTATCGCCTTTCGATCAAGAAATGACTTAACGGATTACGTTGTCCCATCTGTGCAACCGCGGTGCAGCGAGTAAGCCGATAAGTCATTCCCGGCGAATACATTGATCGTAAATACACCACCGCCTGAGTAACCGTGACGTTTCGCGGTAGAGCGATCGCGGGCAACGAGCGATGTCCGTAATTCCGTTTGCGGACGATTCGATGGGGACTTTTCTCTGAGCGAGCGCGCGTTCGTCCGACTTTCGAAAATTCGCGAGAATATTCGACGAACCGACGGTCAGTCAGCCAGCCAGCCAGCCTAATCCGCATATCCCGCCCACGGTGTTCTGACCGGTGTCGAACTTTTTTTTCTGTTGCAGAGCCGAAGAAGGAAAAGACTGAACAGAATGCGAATGGCGCGATATCGCCGAGCGGCGGCGGCGGTGGCGGTGGCGGTGGTGGCGGTGGTGGCGGCGGCGGCGGTGGCGAGCCGCGTGCCGCCACGACCGGCTCGTCGGCGGTGCCGGGCCCGGCCACGGATGCCGGGAACCAGCACAAGCCGAACAGGCCGAACACCCTCGACGCCAGGGTGGTAGCGAGGAGGCTGATCTTGTTCGACAGTGAGTACTGAGTACACACTCGCCGTTCTGCTCTATACTCTCCTCCGCGTGTCGCGTCGCGTACCGTCATCGCTCAGAGAAAAGTTTGGCGGCAAAATCGAGACTGAAGCGTCAATCGTAACAAGCGATTTCGAACAACGAAGGGTGGAATTAGTGGAGATTGTTTCGGTGAACAGAGAAAGAGAGGGGGGGAGGGGAGAAAGTTACCGAAAAGGACTTTACTAAAAATATGTATTATCCTCTAAGGAGTCTCCTAATAGGAGAGATTAAAATAATACTGACAATAAAATATGTATATGATATAATACATGATGTAAACATAATCAAATTAAAGCAAGTGCTATCGCAAAATGAGGAACGATTAACTGTACATTATACAAAACTCAGCGTTTATATTGCTCGAACTATGTCTTAATTTTTCCTTTGTACATTTTTAATTTGCAATTGCTTAAAAAAAGTATCTCTTTCTCGCATTTTCTCGGTGGCTGCGTATACGCAACTTTATAAAAGATCCGCAGGTGCATCGACCGGCATAAACTTGAGTTTATATTCTTTATGCAGCTATCGTTATGCAACTTATATAGAAACTTTCGAATAAGAGTTTTCTCTCTACCCTGAGGGTCATCAGTTTATAAGGCACAATAGCATATTTCTTTTATGCGCTGACTTCGTGTTCGACGAAGAACAGTAACAGCATTCCCGCGAATTCGTGCTACACGAATATAATTATTCTCGAATAAACACGGCACACAGAAAGTTCGGTTATTAAATTTAGTTGTCTCTTTGACGACGCTCGATGATATTTACATATTTTTAATATTTATTAGAAACTGAGAAACTAAAAGAGTGCAGACGAGTTTAAATGTACGAGAGCCAAATCTATCTCTTATTACAAAATTATTACAGCTTCGCGGTAATCGATCGCGATAGCATTGAAATACAAATACAAAATTTTCCAATCTTTACACTTTATCGCCCGCTAGCTACATATTGAAATTTTTATTAGTCAATCCGGACTGCTAAAAAAACTCCTATACGTGATACATTTTAGAATGCAATGTCAAGTGAAACTATCTTGACTGATGTTTAAATAGTTTTCTATCCGTTCTTTACATTTTTTTAAGAAAATAAAATTCTTATTCAAAGAAATAAAATTCCGAGAAAAATTTCTGCGAGAGATCAGAGACGCTGCTATCAGCATCACGTATCCAATAAAAGCTGATAATAGCATGCATGTCCGGGAAATACATTTATTCAAATAAGTTTGAGATTAATCGCACTCACACGCACAGTGCAGACTCGCGTGATAACGTCGCGCGACCTGATGTGTATTTCCCTTAAAATTTTCGCGATAAATTTCGCAACCGGGTTGGAATCAAATATGTGTTGGTGATCAAACCGGACGATCCTCGGGGAATGCGTGGTAGCCGAAGTATCTCGCCCGGTAACCGCCTGGAACTTCGTCCTTTTGTGTCAGAATTTAGGTGCGCGACATTATCAAATGGCCAACAGCGCGGCAGCCGCGCATCCGCCGACTTGTTTAACATTCCAGCCGATACCGGCCGTGGAGCGTTATAACGATGGGTCGTTATATTCATGAAAAAAATACGTCGGTCTTTATGAAATGAAATTTTTAAAATAAAAAAAAGGCAGTCGCGAGGCGGCAGCGCTAAATTAAAAATTCCGCCCGGCGTACCGGACGCGCGATAGTAACGGGATTTAATAATAAACAAATTCGGCGAAGCCCGCAAAAACCGGTGTTTCGCAAGTCTCATCATAGCAGCTGCAACGAGCGCGAGCTCGCTGGCATTCGTTCGTTTGCCAAGATATTGTTGCTCCTGCGAATGAATCACGTTTCTCGTGACAACTGGCTTCGCTGCAAACACTTTATCGGACACGCAGGCGCGTGCTTCTTTCACATATCTTCTTTCCTACTTGATGCGATGGTGATGTTCAAGCAATTTGGAAATAATCTACATAAACATTTGCGTCTTCTCTTTACTTTAATACTAGGTAATAAAAGCGTTTTAATTTTGCGATCGAATTTAGAAACATCGACAGAAAAGGACAAATGATATTAAACCGACACCAATAAGAATGAAATAATAATCGCACGAGTGTAGATATATGATTATTTTTAACTCGATGTGATATTACAACCTGTGTGTTTTCTTTCTGCTTTCAGTGGACAAAGGGGTGTTGGATCAGAGCGCCGACAATCAGCAGGTAATAGAAAGATGTTATCCATTACCACCTCAGAATACGCTGATGCTGTCGGAGCTCCCGGAGCCGCCGATACCGTTGAGCGAAATCGGCCCTATACCACCCCCGCCGATGTTCAGCTCCCCGAGTCCCACTTTGCTGGCGAGACAACGGCAAATCCCGCTCTCGGATTGCGAGGACGAGGGTAAGTGTGTGACGAGACACATTAATGCCGCGGAAGAGTATTGGAGCAATTAATTGGAGCAATTAATCACACGATAGAACCCCCTTGTCGCTTATTAGATTCCTCTCCTCTCTGTTGGCACGGTTCTGCGATGACCGATAAAATCAGCGGCCGTCCCGTATAAACGGTATATATACGCGTGCTCTTGCACGTTTTTCTGTTATTCTGATTTTCAATATCGCCGTTGCAAAGTTATGAAATTACGGTCACGATAACGGCGATGCATATCGTTATTGGAATTATTTAATACTGTTTACCTCATTACCGGGGAATTTAATTTCGTTGTTAATTATTTGCGCTAATTGATAACCGCAATTTCCTGTTGTATTGATGCGCTCGCCTCGGCGACGCGTGCCTATTTATTGACTATCGATCGTCACGATTGTGTCATTGAATAACCCATAAATTAACCCCAACGTAGCGCGTAATTATGTGAATCCGAAAGAGCAATCAACACGTCCGCACGTTTGAATGCATTTATTTATTATGCACAAGTCACTGAATTTGTTTTAAATATATTTACTTGAATTTTCCGAGCTTTCGACGAATGACAAAACAGCCGTTCGATCTTTTTTTTTTTTATCGGGTGCAAGCCTGAAGGATATTTGATTTCCACGTACAAATTGATTTGTAATCGCGTTTTTCGTCGACTTGGAGGAAGTCCGTTGGTCACGCGAGTTTTCTTGCCGCTTGCCCCGACAGATGAGGAGGACGTCGACGTGGAGGAAGAGGACGACAATATGTACCTCTTCAGGATGTCGCAGCCCGATCCGGCGATCGACACGTCCCGTGTCGAGGAGATACCGGCGAAGGAGCCCAAGTTCCACGCCGTGCCGCTTAAGAGCGTCCTGAAGAAACGGGGCTCCGGAAGCGGACCCGGCACCCCGCAGAACACGCCGACGCAGGAGAACAGGCCGCTGACGCTTCGCCAGGAGCTCCACGCCTCGTTCAAGTTAGTGCCCTCACCAGCAACTCGCAGAATTCGCTTTACACATGCCCGAGTATATCCATCGCTGCTGAAGCGTTCGAGAAGGGAAAGTTATGACGGGAATCGGAGAGAGAGATTCTAAGCTGTCAAAATTACTTCCGTTGTTACACCTTGATTCAAAGCGTCTGGAAAAGAGGAAAATTACGCGGAAATACAGTTTATATATAACCGTGATAAATGATTAGTGATACCTAAAAAAAAAAATGTAGCATGGCTATACGTTCTTACTACTTAATTTTTTTTCCTTAAAAGAATGCAATTTGTGGGGAAAATCAGAGTACAAAAATGAGGAGAATCCATAATTTATGAGGCTCATTTTAGACACTTTGCTTGAAAAATTGTAAACTTGATTTATTCAAGTTTCTAGAAATGCAATCGTCTCTTTCGTAACTTGACAAAATCATTAGAATCGTAAACGAAACTCGTAGATTGTATCACTTTGAATCAGCTCTTTGCAACAATCGCCGCAGCATTTACGAGACAAAAAGTCGTGGAATGTAAAGCGCAGGTATTTAAGGATTCCTCTCGAACGCTTCGCACCGAAATTCGAAACTCGCCGTAAGAATCGGGCGCTCTTCGAGAGTCACCCGGCGCACAATCGCCAGGATAATCCGCTTCCTACGTCGACTTTTCTTTAATTAAAAATCGTTCTCAAAAGCCCGCTTTCTCGCCGGGTCTCTCTCTCTCTCTCTCTTTCGCTGTTTGATATCGAAAGCCTCCGGAAAGCATCGGATCTACAAGCAGTGGCTTCGAGTGGTCCTGCTCCAGCGTGGTATTATTACGCTCGGCCTTAATGAAAAGAGTACGAAGCAGACGTCGAAGAGCCCTAATTTTTTCCGAACGTAATCCTTTAATTTCCCGTCTCGCTGCTCGTTATAGCTCTCTCGGCGCAGCCGCTCGCGCGTGGGCTGCCCGGGTGAATAAATCTCTTGGACTATCCAAATTTATACAATGGCAAGCCTCATTTAAAATATAATTTGACATTACGGTGGCTCTGAGAATATTAAATGTATGGATATTAGGCTTTCAGAATATTAACACGTTGCCACAGTAGTCATCTGGCGTCTGATTTTTCAGTGGCGCCTCTTGGTGGTCACTGGTGGTCAGCGTTATCGAATTTTTTTAAAACGCTTGTAAAAAAAATGAATACATTTAACATAAAATTTTGAATGGCATAAGTAGCTAGATAAAAAGTGCACAATTTATACTATTCGTGAAGCTAAAGTCTTATTTAATCACATTACATTTATTTATTAGATAACATTACAAAATTTATTATAATAAATTTTTTTAAAATTTTGAATGACATAAGTAGCTGGATAACAACACAAAACAGAAAGCGCACAATTTATTTATGCTACCCACGAGGATTAAATCTCGTTTAAGCTATACAATAGCTTATTATTATATATTTATGATAATGAAAATTCCATTCTGTGGCGTATGCCATAAATTATACAAAAATTAACTGAGCAGACAATGTTGTTAAACGTACGCGATATCACTCGCGGCGATTTACGATGTAATCCGAAACGCGAGACGGGATTATTGAAGGGAAACGTACGCTCTCTCTCAGGCGAGTACTCATGGAATGTACTTCGTGCACCCGTCATTAACATGTCAGTCACTAGTAAAGCATCGTATTTTTCTTATGCTTAACCAGAAGGCCACCGTTGAGGCCTAGGATGAGAATATGGTAATTGGTCATTGGTCTAACTAAGCATGTTTGCAAACCGATGATATATATATACATATATGTAAATATATACGTATTATGTATATTATCCTTACGTTTTTGTCTTACATAACGGCGCGGTTGATCGCGAGAGAACCAAAATGTTCTAGTCTCTCCTCCTTTCTCTCTCTCTCTATCTCTCGGTGACTCCCGTTGCGCGAGTCACGCGAGGCGCCGCCGTGAGCATGGCAAACGTCCGACGTTTTAAGCATGAGAAAACCTTAGGGAAACCCATGAAAAATCTCTTGCGTCTTAACGCTTGTCACGCCGCCACCATTCGATCACGCCACAACACACCATGTGAGTCGAATATCGCGCGAGAGATGGGACGGAGTTTGTTATTTTCCCTTTAACGCGTGAGATCGATCAATCCTCGCGAGTCGCGATCCGTCATCGGTCGACAATTTATCAATTTACTGCCGTATCGCACGCGAAGTAACTTGCGCAATTTGCTTAAGTCGGATAATTACGACGAGAAGAAGTGCCGGTTAACTAATCCGTTTCTGTAAGTATATACGACTTTCCCTCTCCCCCCCCCCCCGCTTCGATTTTCACGATGCATTTATATTAAAATTATCCGATTATTTCGATTTATATTTCGTATGTTAAATCCTGTTGTACATACAAAGAAGCATGTAGCCCTTTTTATATTGATAATTATTTCTGTGATGTATCTGACCTTTAAATACCATGTTTCATCATTCTAATAATGGATAAAGTATATAAATTATGATTATTATCTATAAATATTACATCCTCATCTGTAACTTCTCTGTTATCGCGGTTTTCTGTAGAAAACGAAGGAAAACGAACAAGATTATTATCTAGTATTTTTTAATTAATATAAATCGTATTAATTTGTAAATTATTTTCCAAGACCACATACATGGCTTTCATTTAAAAATTAATGTCTTTTATTGATGTTAAATTAAAATGTATATTTCACATTGCCACACGCGAATCTTGAGCACGTTACAACAGGAAACGACAGTACGGTCGTAGCTTTTGTTCGTATTACATTATTGCAGCTTTGATGCTTTAAGCGCGCCGGCTTTGAAAACGCTTTGAAAATATTTAGCCCGAGGCACCTCGCTTCTGACGTCACGCACTTCGCTCGAGAAAAAGAAAGATAAAGAATTAAAAATTTAGGTATTAAAATAAAGATACAGTTGGCACACAGCAGGGCTGTGATGTGCCTCACGTTTGGACTTTCATTGAAATTTTTGATAATTTCGCAATATTAATTATCCTTAGGAAACGTGAAGCGCAACACACGCGCGCGCGCACACACACACACACACACCTACAAAGAGATAATTAAAAGTCCCGACAAATTTTGGAAGTTACTATAATATTAAATGCAAATATTATGAAAGGATCTTGCGATAAACTGCCGCGAGGAGGGAGAAAAAAACTTCTTGTCGGGAACACTGCGCGTACACGTAGTCAAGAGAAAACTCTCGCGCTAAATATTCGCGAAACATTTACCATCTCTTAGCGCACTCTCTATTCCTCGAAGAAAATTTTCCACGATAACTTCCAAAGTTTAAATCCAAAAATGCTCCATACGCTGCAGCAAGGTAGTGGCGCTTACGGATCGATCCAAGGACAGCGAGTTCGAACACGTTGAATGCGCCGGATCACGGTTAATTTCCATGATTGTTGCAATTACTGTTCAATCAGGGAAGAGGTTTGCCCGCGTGGCCCGAAATTTTCGCGGATAAATTTTCCCCGTCGCGCGAACGTGTCGCCGACTTCAGATCGCGCGCGGTCTGTGTGGTAACGAACAATAAAGTTTCGCGCGTATGTGCCGGCATTCAACGTGTCGAACGGTAACAGCCGGACTCTTGGGTGGACGGGCGAAACGTACGCGCGAGAAGTCTGTCGTTTCACGTGGCGTGCCTCCGTTGTTCTCGACATGTCACACACTATGCATCTCTCCCTCCCGTCCCTTCCTCCGCCCCGGCATATATACCCCATATACCCCATTCGCATCTCGTTTCTCTTGTAGCACCGTAGAGTAGAACATTGGTTCACGTAGCATCAACCAGCGATTGCGTGTCAATCGGAGTTTCCGTATTTAACGATCTCGCACGTCCCCGTGCCTCGTTCTTTCAGCAGTCGACCGGTCAGATTCGGCCTCGCTCTACCCTGCACGCTGGAGAACAAGGAGAACGCGAGGCCTTACGTCATCCGAGAAGACGCGGACGGCGACTCCGGCGACGGGCAGGTCCTCTACAGGGAAGATTACGACGACGAGAAAAGTGAGTCGCTCCGCTATCGATTTTATAAAATCTTTCATCTGCGAATTGATCGACGATCGTTCCATAAAAATATTCATTGATTCGAAATCGTCACTTAATACTGCAAATCTAACAAGTGTGTAACAAGCGCCTCTTCATACGCCTGTAATTTAGTTTCCCGTGTCAAAATAACACTATATTTAAAAAAATCGCACACTATAGTGCGTTATTTTTACACGGAAAATCACACACACATAGAAGGAGACACATTTGGATTTGCGGTGCAATATCGTATCCTGTTTATTCTGTCACACGGTCGCACATCGATTGGAGGGAAAATAATAATGAAATAGCTGTTTGTTTCTTGCTCAATTGACGATTAATCAGTAATAAATATTAATTATCGTTAGTAATTATCATTAATCTATCAATTAGTTTATGCAAACTGCATAAAGTATGCATTAAATAGAGAGCACAATAGACGAGGCCACAATATTGTGGCATAGTTTACGTCGCGATAATCAATGTAAATAGAATGAATTTTGCAATTCGATTTTTCGTCGATGTTTTTTTTTGCAGCACGTGCCTGCCCCTCGGCAATCAATTAGTCAGATAGTAACTTTATGTTGCTTCCCGGAATTTTGATGGACGTTCCACTCTCTCTCGTTACGTTGATGAAAAACTGCAGCGCGGGTCGCGCCGGATCGATGGTAGCCTTTCGGCGAGAGTCAATCGCATCGTTTTTCGCGGAAAAATAAATATGCTCTGTGCGCGGCGCCCTCAAAGATTTATATCGAAATTCCGCCGCAACCAGAAGCTTAAATCGACGGCGCATCGTGTGTATCGCGATAAAAATGCGCGGTCACGAATGCAGTTACGCGAAAGCGGGGGCCATGTTTATTTCACGCCCCTGCTCATGCAATTTTCCATCGAGATATGAGGTTTCAAACTCCCGACGTGATTCGGTTGAATGGACTTCCGAACGAATTCATAAATAGTCCCGCGTCGTGTATTTGCGATAACGTCTCTCTCTCTCCCTCTCTCTCCATTTTCCCGCGCGTGGGGAAAAAGAGAGACCGCTCTCTAAATCTCGAGGATAACAGCAAGGGAAGAAAAGCCGAGTCAGTCGCAGGTGTCAGACAAACTTTACGGAAGGTGGAAAAAAAGAGAAAAAAAAAAGAAGTTGAGGAAAACTCTCGAGATGGGCTTCAAACGTTTGAAAATTCGAAAGAAAGTGAAAAAAACTTCGATGTGCCGGCGTCAAATAATCAATGTAAGCTCTCCTCAAAGCGACTTGAAATTCATGCTTTCGCATTTGGCATTTGGCTGAATGAATCCGTTCGTAATTCATGGTATATGTACCGAACCGGGCGCAACAACGCTATATAAGGATATTCGCGCTTAATCTTTAAACGTCCGGAACTGAATTGTAACTTTCTCGCGTTACAACGTTCTTTATTTGCGCTTCGCCTCTTCTTCAGAAGATTGCGCATAGACGGTTAATTATTCGTCGACGGGAGGATTTTGTACAATCGGCGTGCGAAAAAAAGAAATAATCCCTCTGCCGGGAGTCTCCCGGGGGCCTGTGTATAGCGCGACCGCTCGCCGGATTAGCAGCCGATCCCGCGGGAACGTCGCGTTGACTTTTCCCACGATACATCCGCGCGATTTTATTCAACGCGCGTTGAAATCGCGCGACCGGAGATTAATTGTACTCGCGCCAGGTCGTACATATGTAAGCGGACACTTAGGAGAGGTGGTTTATATTAATCCCCGAAAATAGCTGGCAAGTCGCTCAGTCTCTGGCCGCTCTTCCATCCGGATTTATATTCCGCGCGGATTTTCGCTCGCTGAATTTTTATTAAACCGCGTAGGCGTGGACCGCGCGCGATCGTGCAGTCGCTTCCTCGAGTTAGTTAAGTCGATCCCTAAATTCGTAAATTACTTCCTCGCTCGTTTCGAACTCGTTCTCGTGCGAGAGGTGGTGTTTCGGGGGAGGATAATTCCCGAAATACGTGGCGGCTACGCGACGCAGAATGGCCAGTGCGAAGGCCAACGGTAATTAATACCGTCGGAGCGACGATTTCGATCCCCCTTCGGACACGCTTCGCGGCACTTTTCCCCTTCGGAATCGCATTCGTAGGTGAGATAGAGCGAGAGCGATGACACGATGCTGTCGATATGGACCGCGTCGACGGTGTCGGTCGTCTGCGCCTCGATCGAGCCGGCCGAACACGCCCCGCTGCTGTTGCATCGCAGCTTCAGCTGCTCGTCGATCGTGGAGGGTAATTAATCAGCAATCGTGACGTGATATCGGGCGCGAAATTAATTAACATCGATGCGCACTTCGCGGTGGACGTCTGATGCGAAATTCATTCTAGACTTTACATGCTGATTTAACTCTATGATGAAAAAAAAGGGAATCATTTAATACATTAAATCAGAGGTTTTCAACCCTGGGTGTGCCGCAATGGTGTCGCGAAAATTTAGGAAAAGGTAAAAAGAAGTGAAAAAATTTAGAAATAAATAAAGACTCGAGCGCGAGATGAAAGATATTTTAAAAATTGTGAAAATTGTCTAAATTACATTGCATTTACTCTCATTTAACTAAAGCAATATCGTTATTGCAATAGAATCACTTTTAAGAAAAGATAAAATACAAAATAAGACCTTCGGAAACTTTACTTTTTATTTCCGAATGGCGCGCGTATTGACGGTATCTGATAAAAGATCTATGCTGAGCGATGAATCGTGTGCACTTAATAATAATGCACCTTGACAAATTTGGCCCGTTATTTAACTGGTGTGCCGCAAACTGAAAAGTGTTGAAACACGCTACGGTAAATGATTACCTTGCAATTTATTCATTTCCGTTTGTTAATGTCTGTGAAACGTAATTTGCCCCGGTAAAGCGATATTTTCTCCGCGGTTATCGGAGACGCTGTGAACCGAATAAGTGGTTTAACGAGCTAAACAGATTCGACACTTTCTATTTCGACAGGCCGTTTGGCAGCCAAGATCGCGCGCAAGGAATCGCTTTCGCTGAAGCTCGCCCTCAGGCCGGACCGGCAGGAGCTCATCAACAGGAACATCCTTCAGCTGCAGACGGACAATGAGAGGCAGGAAACGAAGGAGGCCATTGGCGCCAAGCTTATCAGGTGAGAGAATTGTATTCGGCTGTCTGTTAAACAGCAATTCGCACAATTGCATCAAGAGGACTTCGGACACGCGGCTCGTCTGTATTTTCGTCAAAGTCGTTTGGCAAATTGGCACGTCGTAACGAATCCTCTTCGTCTAATTTAAAATTACGTTTAACAATCTACTTGAGAGAGTCTCGAGGGGATCCCCTCCGGAGTGAATTAGGAAATCATATAAATTTTCACTTGAACAGCCACGCCGTCAGTTAATTATGAAAATATAATTACTCTAAAACGTCGCGATGTAACGAAAGCTCTGTAAAACCAGCCGACGATAGAATATCGATGAAGTCTCGTTATCTTCTCGCCTTCTTGCAATTTTAATGTTCGCGATGCGGATAATCTCTCTCCGTTTTTTCCTCGCTCGTCAAAGAATTCATTATTAAAGTCATTTTTCAGTAATAATGTGTGTGGAATTGCGTGTGTATGTATAATTTTTTTCTGGGATTTCTTCGTTTTCCATCGACGTCAGTCCGTCACGACTGATCCGGTTCATGTGAAAACGAGCTTGAAATAACAGCTGTCTCTCGTAAAGATTACGCGCGAATAATAGGACGAGTGCCGCGGTGAATCACATTGTTTGCACAAAGCGGATGCCTCGCTTTCTCCCTCGAATGTCTCTCTCCCGCTCGTGAAGGAAGATTAAAGCGGCCGATGAACTTGCATTGACTCTCGTGCCATTTTCATTTCAGGCGGCTGAGCATGCGGCCGACCCAGGAGGAACTTGAGGAGAGGAACATTTTGAAAAGTAAGTTCGGCTCTATTCCGTTAATTATGATCGGGGATTCCGAGATCGAGTTTATGAGAACAAAATTTGAAAGAGAAATAGCTCTCCATTAATTTTGTAAAAATCATAAATTATCTACGTTTTAATTCGGGATAACATTGTCTGTTTTACGCTTCGCCAAATCGAGATACGAGTTAAAGTCTAATCCTAATTTTTCTTCGCTTCTGCAGAGCAAAGCCCTGCCGAGGAGAAAAAGCAGAAGGAAGAAAAGAAACGCTATCTCCTGCGAAAGCTGAGTTTCCGACCGACCGTTGAAGAACTCAAGGAGAAAAAGGTAAAACGAAAAAAAAATTCCTTTGTAAATCCTCACGAATTTTTGCGGCGCTACTTGTATTTTTTTTTTTTAAGATAGAAATTGTATGCCGAAAGATGTATTTGCCGAGTTTCAGTTCGACTGATATTTTATCGCGTCTCATTTCGCGGAGATGCTATTTTCCTTCTGATAAGGGATTCCTTCTCGCAAGAGAGCTACGATAAAGCCGTAAAAGCGAAAACCAATATACTTATCTTCTCCCCTTCGCGTTCCGCAGATTATCAGGTTCAACGACTATATCGAGGTAACGCAGGCTCACGATTACGACAGAAGAGCCGACAAGCCTTGGACGCGGTTAACTCCGAAGGACAAGGCTGCTATTAGGAAGGAGCTAAACGAGTTCAAGAGTTCGGAGATGGCCGTTCACGAGGACAGCCGACACCTCACCAGGTACTTGACGCTCTACGAATTTATCGCGGTGCCACTTTAAAAGCACATTTGGCACCAACTCCAGCATCTCGCTAGAGTGCCCCGCGAAATATATGCAGCCTTGTAAAAATCGAATTGGAGCACGTATAATGAAACCGTCTTGAATTGCCAAAACGCGAGACTATCCTCGATTAAATTTAATTATCTAATGGAAGCCTCCTCTCAAAGCCTGTCTAAAACTTCTGTAATTATTTACGCTTAGTTTGCGAAAACTTTTGAAACTATCGCATATATAATTGGGAAACTTTTGATATTTTTTATAATCTTTTCTTTAATTTATGACACGTATATCGATTTCGTAACTAATACCCTTGATTTTTCAATTGCAGGTTCCATAGGCCATGACAATTGCAATGTGTTGAGGTGCTACAGTGTGGTGCGGGTATACGTGAAGGTGCAGTGTGGTGGCTTCGTGTTGAGGCCGGGTGAAGAAGAGAAGGAAGAGAAAATCGGCTATCGTTATACTTCCGGATTTTACTTCCGGAAACGCGCGATACTCGTCCGATCGGTGACGGTGATTTCTTTGACGTTGCTGCGTCGTGTCGTTTCGTCGTTGTCTCGCCAAACCGCCATCCCACTGGCGCCTCTTCCGTCACTCGTCATTTGTACACGTCAACGACAAACGCCACCATGACGTCGACGAAGATTGTGATAGGGTGACTCGCCCGCCCCGTCGAAGAGGACTTGGCGGGTCGCTCGCCGATTTCTTTTCATAAGGGTCGTTCACACCCGTGCTTGGCCGAACAGATTCTTCGCGCTCTTTCCGATCACCTTACAAGCTACTCTTCATCTTTGTATCTTCGACACTGATCTCGTTATAGTAACACGCGTCAAGGCGTTTACATTCTCAAGATATCTTGAAAATATTCTTAAAACTTTGCGCGACAAATTCTATCAAGTAGATACGCTACGCGCGAGTATCTCCTTCTGCATTATTAAACGGAACATCATTGAAGCTTAAAACTACGATCTATCTGTCGGGCTCAGCTCTTGAAAGCTTGCCGTTGTGAAAATCAAAATGCTGTATAGTAAATAAGACTTTTTTATCGAGACGCTCGTGTGTGTGTCCGCAACTGTTTACTTCTGAATAAGAATCGGAAGTCCCTTTTTAATTACGTATAATATATATATATAATATATATGTACCTGTCTCATTCATAATTTCTTGTTATGAATTTTTTTTAAATTATTTTTCTTTGTTGTACAATATATTTAAGAATCGTATGAGAGTGAGACGTAAAACGCGTCTGTCACGAATGTATTTTAGCGATAAAGAGATTACGTACAATGGAGGCGCGTGTCGCACGCATACCGATGCGTGAGAATGTACAGATTAATCGCGTGGAAATTAAAGATCGCGTTTAAAATTAAGCGCGAGCGTAATTCCATAATGGACACTACGAGCGCGCGTGTGAACATACCCTTAAAACATGTAAAACACCATTTTGCAATCAAGCTAGCTCATCAGTGTCACCTGGCATCGTTGTATATGTAAATGTCTCTCAAGTTTCGAGCCATCGTAACACACGCAGAGATATGCGATATATCTCGTTGATATCACAAAAGAAAAAGAGAATACTCGAATATTCGAGGTAAACTGAATATTCGAGGATCAAACGGGAGGTACATCACATTACAAGCGATATATATCGTAAATATAAACGTCGAGTAAAGTGAGTTCGGTTTAGTTGAAAAAAAAAAAAAAAAAAAAGAAATGTTTTAGTATTAATATTTTTATACGTTGACGAATGAACAGCAGAGAGTTTTTCGCAAAATCATTTTTCGATAATAATCCTCGTTTTTTAATGATTAAGATTGTATTCGGCTGACGTCCGAAAATGTGATTTACGATAATTCCACGTTCTCACGATTTATCGCGCGGTATCTCCGCGCAGAGAGTATTCATTGCTTGAGACTTCTCACTAACACTATTACGTGCATAGTTTGTTAAGCTCTTCGTATACACCGCGCGAGGAATGAAAACAGTCATTCGGTGTCTACGACAATCGGTCCGACTGTTCGATCGACAAAAAAAAAAAAAAGAAACTGTTTTCCTTTTACTGCCAGGTATCACTCTCTCGTGGAGCTGCCTTGAGGAGCAAGCGCTTACGATTATTAATCTAAAGAAAAAGAAATAAAATAAATAAAATTAGACGTACACTCCGTTCGTGGGAAAATCATAAATGCGTTGTGCAATTAAAACTTTGTACAGGAGTAGGTAGCGTGTACATTAGTGAATATTATTATCATCATTGTTATAATATCGCTATAGGGACGCTCTATGGTCCTCGTTAATTTCGATCGCGTGCGCGCTTTTAATCACGGCAGTGTTAAATTCCTTAAGAGCAGATACGAAGATCGGTTGTTGTTCCGTATTCGTTGAGTGCGAATAAAGTCACGAGTAAAATCTCGTTGAAAAAAAAGGTATAAAATGCATTTACGATAAATACGTACGTGTTGGCTACGTATTTTGAAGAATATATTCACTTCAGTGGCCCGATAGTAAAAGAAAAATATATCGTTAAAAAAAAAACACCGGGGATTCACCCTCGGCCATTTATTATCAGATTAATTTTTATGCTCGCATCAACTGCACCGGAGCACCAACGTTACTCTGCTCACGTAAAAGCAATCTGGTGGGTCAACAGTGAATTGTAGTTCTAAGTTATTAGTCCTGTCTATAATACTGACGGAGAAGAGAAAAAAAAATTGAATTAGGCAGAATTAGCGCTAACTGACGCCGGTGAATACCGGCCCCTTAGTATCGAAAACTCGTTCACAATTCCGTTCTTCTCAACTGCGAGTAGAACGAGGAAAAAAAAAAAGTAGTCGCGTTACAAATCGCCAATGTTGCGCGCAAATTTGTATCTAGATCTCTTAGCTGATCGAAAGAACGAAGTCCAACGACGAAGGAGAAAAAAAAATGGAATAGGTAAAAGACGAGGAGACACGCGTGCCTCGATGTGTGCGATGTCTTGCACGCTTATCTTTGGAAGCTTCTTGCATCCCCCCCCCCCTCGCTTGTCCTATCCTCCCCAGTTATGCGAAACCGACCCTCCTGCTCATGTCGCCGTTGACGCGGACGGAGGTTCGTCCGTACCTCCTTGTTTCGGAGAACCGGCGAGCGAAACCAAAAATAAAAATAAAAGGGAAACAGAGAGATCGCGAGCTTACGATCTTGCGCGACACAGGCGAATATCTACGGCAGCGGTGAGTAAAACGAAGTCGCGGTCGACAGTCTACTTTCCTCTCCTCGTTTAGAAATCCTAGTTTTTAACGATCGTCCAATGGGGTGAGAGGATCGGTGTGTAATGTGTCGATCTTTCTCTTAACCCGTCGGTGAACTCAGCTGTTCGATATTAATTCGTCAACTTCGAGGTCGTCGAAGGTATAAAGGACGAGGACGTCTCCTACCTTCGGGAAATATACCACGAAGAAGCACGTCATAAGGAACGTCATAAAATAATAAGCAGGGAGATTAAAGTGTCTCTCTCGTTCCATTGGTCGAGCGCTGTGGCTACCATGTAGTCGACAAATATATCCATTTCCGGATTGCCTGGGTCGGTATGAGTGCATGCCCGCGCGCGCGCGTGTGTACGTATGTATGCGTGAAATATAATGTGCATGGAGAGAAAGATGAGAATAAGAGAGAGAAAGCGTGTATGTGTGTATGACAGATTACGAACAAACCATTTTAGGTAGAGAGTGGTCGAAATCTGAATGGAGCGTCTCTGCGACAGTCTTTTTTCCCTGAGCTACGTTCGAAAATGTACCTTTTACGTTGTCCTGTATACATTTTCACAAAAAGAACGCCGCAAAAGAGAGTCTCGCGCACGCACTAGGAGTTAAATCTAGAAAACAGCAACCGTTTCCACGTCGGAAATATTTAGCGAATGAAGTTATTTAACTCGTGGGAGTTAGGAACACGCTCGTGATGAACTAAATGTGAATAAATAACAAAATTTGTTCGCCAATTAGATTTTTTCTTTAATAGAAATGTTAACTCGAAATTAAAGACTTTAACATTTAAAAAAGAGATACAATTGCGATGGCTTTTTATGAGATTTTCGAGAGAAAGATGGGTTTCAGATTTTTAAAGAGACTATAATAAGCGTAGTGTTACATCTGTAAATTCTTCATCAAATATGTCGAACTTGAGGGAGAAGCGATGCAATTTTCGCTTTATAAAAAGCTTTTTAAAAATTAAAAGTTAAATAATTCAGCATCGTTGTCGACTGTTCACTTTTGCATCATTATAAAAAATAAGTAGCTATTTTCAAATAAGAAGGGCTGCATCGACCGTGGAACAACGTTCTCGAACGTAGCTTTCACATCTCCACATCTGTTCGAAGCGTCCACTCTCTGAAGCGTGGAGCAAAGGCAAGAGAAAAACAAATAATAAAGGCACGACATGCGGAAACATATATCTAATAATGAATGGTTTTATGTATGTACATATTAATATATAAATATATAAATATATATATATATATATATATATATATATATATATATACATATTCGCATAAATTGTAAAACACCGTGATAGGAGAAAGAGCCCACTGCTACACGCTACACGATATTACGCAATGTGTAAACGGTGAATACTTATAAATACTAATTTTTAGATAACGGCGCGCTCTAAATGCAAAACAATACACCATATACATATATAAATATTATACATATAAATATGTAATGACGCGTACAAGCAGCATGTGCATTTTCCAGCACAGATAGTTGGTATTTTGTGTACAAAACTGAAAAAAACAAAACAATTGTTGGACTTTCTCTGGCCGCGCATCGTGACGGAGGCGAGGGGGATGAAATTAATGTGCGAGTCTCCGTTGCAATCGCATTGCCGAACGATTGAACAACGAGACGATCGGCCGATCGACGGCGCGGAACGGCATGGACGCGCGTCGCGAACCATCGACCCCCGGTAGTTATTTCATATATCGTCATCCCATCTGCATGCAATGATATTATCGTCCACGTTTAGCACATTCTCTCTCTCTCTCTTTCTCTCTCTCTCGTTCGCATCCTGCTCAACGACGCGCGTCCGAACCGTTCCTCTCGCGCACCGCGCACATGCGACGTACCGTTTATTCTGCAAAACGAATCCGAGAGCGCGTTGAGATTAATTTTCCACATCCTTCAGACGATTCTGTAAAATCCCGGACGGACCTTTTGACACTTTTCCCTTAAACGAAAAGAATGAAATATTCCATCTATAAGAAAATACAAATCTCTCGTGATGTTTCCAGTGAGAAACAAAGCTAAGGAGCTATCTCGCGGTTTGCAGAATAACGGATCTCCGTAGTGCGGTGAGTAACGTCCGTCGTGGAGTCGAGCTGTAAAAAGAACGAAGAACGAAGGGAAGAAGACAACGGGAAGTAAATTTGTCGTGAACCGTGAAAACGGACGGACGAACGTCCACTTGTATCATAGCATTAGCGAGACATTGTAACGACAGTAACAATAATAAGGAATCTTAGTAATTTAAGGGTGAGAGGAGAGAAGCGCGTGAGGGAGAGAGCATTAGGTGCGGGACGGTGCCGAACCACCGGTGGTTCTCCAGTTCTCGCAACCCCTTTCCGCGACGCTGAGGAGCCTCCGGTTTCGCGACCGCGAAAATAGGCTTGGGGCATGCACTTTCGCGCGGGATACTCGTCGCACGTGAAGATCCTTCGCTTGGACTCGGGGATCTATCACGGAAAAAAACGCGCGAATTGTCAGGAGTATCCGCGTGAGCTGCAGGGAAGACGAATCAATTAGTCCCGAGTGTCCGGCGTAAGAAGAGCGTGAAAGCTTAGAGATTTTTACCAAAATGACTCCACGTCACGCGAGGTTTAAGGCGATTACGGTTAGACGTAATTCGTATTTCGTTCCGTTTGCGCGAAACGGTAGAAGGACTTCGCGGCGATCCTTGATCGGAGGTGCAGCGTTCGGGAGTTCCGTTGGCGCGCGATCACTCGAGAGCGCAATTTTGCATTTCGCCGCGCGATCTCGGTAGAAATATCCCGGCTTCTTTTGTCGCGATTGTACCGTAACGCGGTGTAATCATCGTTTTTTTTTTTCGGAATTTTGCCGTGCAACGGGCAAGGTGTGCGCGACTCCGCCTCCATGGAGGATGAAAAATGATCTCCCTACAATCTTTTTTATTATCGCACGTTTCGCCCCGCGGACGCGAGAATTAATCGATTAAAGAGGTCGGTTAGTCTAGGGACAGACAGAGAGAGAGACGTTTTCTTTTTTTAAAAGCAATGCGCAAAAGCAGAGGCGCTTGAATAATTATTTTGCGCTAGCGAAACGACTAGCGATGTAACTATTCGCGCCTCGCGTTCGCCGCCGCATCGTTTAACGTTTTACGTTCGCATTGTTTTTAAGAAACAAGCACTGCACGCGTTCTCGCACGCGCGAAGCGTGCTTTTCTTTCCACACATACACACACATACATACACACACACATTCGGTTCGTCCGTCGATATTTAGCATCGCTCGGGTTCAGAACATTTCGGCCAGTGATCGACCGCTGACGCGTTGCACGGGACGTAATTTGGAAAAAAATTGTATTATATATCGAAACCGAAAGATCCTCTATATGTAAGAATAATGATGTATATATATATATTGATTATTACACACGATAAATTTGGATTAATTGCACTCTCTCTCGAGAGAAGCTGCCCCTTTGATCCAATGAAAAGGAATCAAGACGCACTGAGAACCGGAGGTAGAAAAAGAAATGGAGAAATTCACGAATTTATATATATATATATAAATTTATATAAATATATGTATTTATATATATGTATAAAAAAAAAGAGAGAAAGACAGCACGTTGTTCTCACATTCATTTCGAAAGATGCGTTTCTGATCCAGATCCATTTTTGTTTCGTTGTTAGTTTGTACGCACTACGATTATCGCAATTTATTGTATTATCGACGAGATACTGTAACAAACAAAAATACTGTTAACTATTCTTAAAAAAATTAAAACTTTTGTAAACTGAGAACCAAATGCTTGGCGAAGACTCCACTTTATTTGTCGGTTCCTTTTTCAGATACTTGAATGACTCTTCAGATGCTTGAGACGCGCTACACCGAATTTACACATCCATACGTGCACGTACATCGCACACATGGAAATGTACATGTACAAACTAAAGTATATTGTTGATTGCTCAAATTAGTAATAATATTTTCATCTGCAATAGGCCAGGTATTTAATCTAATAAGGAGGGATTATTCGGGAAAATAGATGGACTTAAAAATCTACAAGGCTCAAAGAAAATGCCAAAACTCTTCGTCAAACTCGATATATATTCAACATATCATTTGATTTCATTATATATATATATATATATATGAGAAATGTACTGAATTGAATTTTAATTCTCTTTCGTTGGAAATATTCTATCCTATAATACGATTCATTAAGCCGATTATAAAAAGCTCAATATGTCATTTTAAATATTCAATTATATTTCGTGTAAGAAATTCTTTGCGAATATCAAAAATAATTCTGCTTGTGTGCGCTTTTCATCCCAAAGCGTATGCGTGTGTGTGTGTGTGTGTGTGTATATAATTAGAGAAGTACATATTATATATATATATACATGAGATCATTGATGACTTGTACGCGTAGTACTATCTCCAGGAAAACATTCAAAATTAGAAAATTCTTTATCGAAACGACCCCTTTGTTGCTGCATTTCTCGTCGATTTTTCATGCCTAAAATCCGAAATGGCGACTCCTACACGTAACAAAAAAATGACAATAATAAATTTATTATCTTAATTATTGGATCCTAAACAAATTTATTATTGTCTTTTTAGCAAGAATATAATAAAAAAAAACTTATTCTCAATTTGATTCTTAGCAGATTAATACGCGAAGCGTAGCAGATTAATGAACGAAATAAAATACACAATTTCTAGGACATCTTCTGAATAATTTAGATATTTTAAATATCCTACACTGTAAAAAATTTTCAAAATTTTTATATTTTGTTAAAAGAAAGCAAAAGTACTCCGTTGTAAACATTGAAAAAATTTCTGTATTATAAATAATTTTCTAATTTTACCGCGGTATTCAAATATATCTTTTGTCTCAGTGAGAAGACAAAATTATATTCTATATAGGGAGCGTATTACCTTTTTCAGCATATAACTTTGGATGTCGCAGCCCATGTAAAAGGCGATCCTCTGAAGGCTGAGAAGAGTTCGGAGTCTTAGACAGGGGTCCGGCTGCAAGAGCCGCTTCAGAAGATCCCTCGCCGCTGGTGAAATGTCCGCATTCGCCGGTAAGATTCCCGGTACATTCGCGCAATTCAGATCGTCCCGGGCGATCCTGTCGGCAGGCAGAAGTTCCGACGGCAAGATGGATGGATACTGCAACAAGATTGTGACACCTGCAGTCAATTCTTCCCATCTTAACTCTCGGTAAAACAACAATTTTATGACTGACCCTGTCCATTAATAATGATTATTTTACGACGCTATGTATAGACTGTTTTAATTGCTAAAAGTAACTTGATTAGCGACGTTCATTCTCTATTCGATTATTTGTAACAATTCAGTTAGCTAAATTGTTCGAAGAAGATGGATCGATACCGCGGCGCTTGAAATTCTGACATAACTCGAGGCGAAATTTAGTCATTAATTTCTAAGCGGCCGTGCACTTTGCGCACCCGCAACCACACGAATTTCCGGAAAGGACCTCTTCCGTCGCGGAGGCGGGGAGGCCTATCTCTCGTAAAAGAACATCTTCTTTTACGAGAGGTAGGCCGCCGGTAAACTAGAGAAGCTATATTACCAATGTGCGGATTCCGGTCTGTCTAGGCGCGCTCGCTCGTACGCTCGGCCGGCTCCGGCATACTCTACACAGGTACATACACAAGGCAGGGTCAACGGCCACTCACGACCCTCAACCTATTCGCTCGTTCATGTCCCTCCACCGTGTGGTACGACCTCACACGACCTCACGCCGCCGGCCGCCTCGCGGAGTGCCGGCGTCCCCGCGGCAAGTGCGTGGATTTCTTTCTGCGCTCCGGCTTTGCAACACGCGCGCGTGTTGAGACGCGCGCGTTGAGTTCGCGCGTGTCAAACGTGCAAAACGGTACCCAACCGGACGCGTTCGCTTTGTTGCAGCAGCCGGGATCGTTGCCGCGACGCGCGGTGACGAAACATTGCCGCACGCGTGCATGCTCGCGGAGAAATGGCTAGGCTCTTTCGAACGGTGCGCGTACGCGGTACGTTTTTAGCGGTATCGGGAAACGTATCTCGGGTTTTACGTAATCCTCGCATGCGGGACGAGCGTAGAGACGCGGCTGCCGCACTCAGAGTCACGGGGCTGTTGATAAAATAGCGGCTTAAATGTTCTGCCCGTAGATTTTCTGTCGCTTACATCACGTGTAGATGATAAAACGCGACGGGCGACTGTCCGGAATCTGAAGCCCGTGGGACGTCCGAATCGATAGGTCACCACCGAGGTAATAGTAAGAATTAGGCGTTTATTAGACGAAATACGGTTCCCTCAATTCGACGCGCGATATATAGTCTCGAGAATTAACAAGCCTTGCCCGAGGAGAATTACTCCGCGAGGCCTGGAGAGGTCGAAACCTCCGCTGCTAGTAAATTTCATTAATTTCCATAGAGATCGGCCTCCGTGGTCTCTCCCGGTAAAATATGCGCACACTAATCGCTGATTAGCCTCGGATGTAATATCTACGCGCGGTTATCACGTCGTTGTTTACAAGCGAACGAGAGAGAGGAGATGCGCCGAAGCTCTCGGCCCGCGCCATCAGGTCGTTGGACCGCGTGCGCGCGCGCGCGCGCGCGCGCATCAGTCGCGCGGATCCCGATCGCGCACACTTGGCGCGCGGACTTGGCGAACGGGATATTTCAATTCGATCTCGGCGCCGGAACCTTGACCGAGAATAACGGTACGGAATGATCGTTACGAGATCGTAGACAGTAAAGTATGGCTTTTAACGCCACCGCCGCCTCTTCTGCATAGATCGGCTCCGGAGCCTGCTGCTGTCCGCCTCATCGGCGCCGTCGTCCGCGGCGACCGATCGATGATGCTGCGAGCGAAAGAGCAATCGGAGAGACACGAGGAGACGGCGGGCGATCAAACCGAGCGACGGGAAATTGAGCTGCTGTACATATTAGAAACATCCCAATTTTTTTTCTTCATACTTAACTGAAGCTTCTCGAAATATGATATTTGCGACATCAAGGCATCGCGCTGCCAAAAATATACGCGCAGATAAACGTTATCGAATTCACGATATCATATTTAACTGAAGATTCTCAAAATATATATATATATATATATATATATATATATATATATATGATGTATTTGAGACATCAAGACATCGCCCTTCGTTGCCAAAATACATGTGCTGATAAACGTTGTTGAATTTACGATGTGTTGTTCAACGAGACGTTCTATAGCGATTATGCGGACTGAGCTGCATCGTCCGCTCTGGTGCAACGTCAATCGCCGAAACGTTATTTCGCAAAATTGCATTTCCATGTGCAGCGCCGTCGATGATATTCGGCACGTTCTACGTGCAAAAAGCGCGGCGTTTTTCGGAATAAATCGCGGGCAGTAGAAATGGAAACAGGACATATATATCTCTCTCTCTCTCTCCGATCTTTAGGATAAAATCAAAAAATTATCTAGCTTCATTTTTCTTCGTTAAAACAAAGTTTAATCAAGGATTATCTTGTTATCTATCTGATATCGACGATCGGCGTGCGGCCGGATCCGCGAAAAGTCCAGAGTCAACAAACTCCGTCTGTGTGCGCGGCCGGCAACTTCGACCTTTCTCTCCGGCGGAAGAGAAAAAAAAAGGCGCGGAATGATGTACACACGGATCTGTACGTTATACGTTTATGCTAAATGTAAACGTACCGCGTTCACCCGTGGATTCCACTCGGCGCGCCTCGGGCAGCTAATTGTTGAGCAAACTCGGGCTTCTGCTTCGATCCGAGCGCGCGCCGCGCCGCTTCGGAACACGTACGTTCGTTAGCACTGTACACCGCGGCCTTCGCCCGCGAATAATCGTATGTATATCGAAGAAATTCAGAGAGAATCGTCGATTCGGCGTATCTATATTTCTCGAGTGTTGGGATCACTTATATGCAACTTCCTTCCTTCAAGCTTTAGAATACAAGACGTTCGAGATTTCGTCGCGAAAATGAGATGAACGGGATGGAAGATTAAGAGCACGGAGAACTGCTCATGAGAACTTTCGCGTCCCACGGAAAGTGACCGTTGCGATCATTATGGTGTAATTAAGGTGTCGAGAAAATAGAGGTGCGGGATTTTTAGATCAGGCAGGTGCCGTTAACGACCGTGTGTTTTCCCGCTATGAGAAAAACTGCGATCGCGCGTAATTTTGTAAAGAAATCTCGAAGAAGTAAGTACTTCGTATCATCCTACGCAGTCTTGTGCAAGTAGTTAATATTGAAGATTGACTTCACACGAACATAATTGGAAAGAATATTTTAGCGATTATATATAATTAAAGATAATAATTACGTAGTAAACAATAATTAAGAATTTTTCGAATAACAGATTAAGTAGTCAATTCTCCATACAATTTTTGTATCTCATACAATTATTTTTTAATTGTGCTGATTTTTGCAAGAATTAAAAGTCGACAAAATTATCGAGTCCTTTTATCTGAATGGATAAAAATATTAAAGAATCGCCCCTTGATTCGCATCACGCATCGATCCATATAATAAGAAAATTCGCGAAAGAGAGGAGACCGATGAGGCGAAGGATGTGCGAGATCGAGAGACGATAACGCGAAGGATCGGTAGAACAAAGAGCCGCCGCTCCTCGCGCGCGAAGATGGACGGGACAAAGGATCCTCGCTTGTGTCCACGGAGCTTGTACATCCAGGAATCTCGCGGGGCAGACGGGCCACGGGCGCGGGTTCGTATGGAGTTCGTCGAGTGAGAACAAAGGCGGAGCCGTCTAATCGGATCGGAGAGATTGCGTCGATCAAACCTGCTGGCGGAAGAAACTTGGAAACAACACAATGCCCGAACGTGTCATAGAGGAGGCGATCGGTATTGGCGGTGTGCACGGCAGGACTCGTTTCTTCGCCTGGGGTGCATCGACCAGAGAGGGGCCGGTTCTATTCCCGGCACGACGATGACGATGTTCTCTCTCTCTCTCTCTCTCTCTCCGTGCGCGCCGTCGCGTCGTCGCGCGCGAGAAGGTAAAATCTGCGGATGAGGAGTCGCGCGAATTAAGAATCCATCACCGGGTATCGGTATAGTGGAAGGTGGAGGACGTGAGAATATCCCCGACGCGAAGCTCGGGGGAATCTTTCCGAATACTTTTATAGCCTCGGTCTCTCGCGGCTGCAATATGAGATGCGTGCGAGACGCTGTCAGATGGATTATGCAAATCCTTTAAGCTCTAAACCTGGCGGAGAAGGGCAAGAGAGGGACGAGGAGTGAATCTTAGATCCATGCATAAAATGCCAACAGAAAATGTTTTAGAAGAGGGAAAAAAAAATTCATCGGTAAGTCGGGAACAATACGAGCACGACGATGAAACCGCGATTAAAAATTCCGGCGACGCGCTCGAGTATGCGATACGCGCATTTTAGAAAAGAAAATATATCCGTCAGGAGCGCCTGCAAGAGAGCGCGACGGCTATAAATAAACTTCATATCCCCGTGCCGTCATCAGGATCGAGTCATCTCCTTCTAACAGTACACGCAATTAGAGCTGCTCAATTACACGCTACACTCATCACGCCGCAATCGACGCCGACGTACGCGGAGAGGAGGATCGCAAGGTGCTCGTGAAATCGGAAGAGGAGATACGGTGGAGACAACGAGGGGTGGAGGGAAGGGGAAGAAGAAAAAAAGCAGAGGCGTGCAATGACGGGGAGAGAGAGATGGGGGGAGGAGGAGAGAGAAAAAGCGGAATAGCTGCAGCCACGGGACGCGGTGCAAGGGCAGGCCTTGTGGAAAGAGGAAGAAAGACCGGTCTCGTAGTTAGCACACGGCGGACATTAACTTCCTATTAACCATCTGCCATTAGACGGGGGTGAGGAGGAATCTTGAAGGGTGGGAGGGGGGCGGGGAAGGCTCGCGCGGAGAAGGCCTACTGCGCGCGCTGGCGCCAAGAGTAATCGCCACGGGCGCGTATTAGACGCTTCATGCGAAATCCGCGTGCAAAAGCTTCTATTTATAAAGCTGCCTTGCAGCCGCAGCCGGCGCGATAAAATCCCTTTCGATGCTCACGAGATAAGGAGGAGGGAAACGTCCGTCGATACGACGCACGCAATCGGACGGAAGTTACGGCCTCTTCTTTTGAGAACTGCAGTTTAATTATTTAATTGTTTCATTGTT